GATTTCAACAGTGCTGCAAGACACGAGCCTAACTAATGTCATCTGCTTGGTTACACACCGAATAAGCATAGTTTCCTTGAGTGTACTTGTAAGTGCAAGATTAAAGGAGCAGTGAGATTTAGTGTCATCTAGCAGTGAGGTTGCAGATTGCATCCAACTGAATTCCCCTCGGCTCACCCCCCCCTTTTCCAAGTGTGTCGGAGAACTACGGTGGCCTTTAGGTAACGTAAACATGAAAGGCTCTCTCTCGATAACCAAAACACAATAATTCTTCATTTCAGGTGATTACTTTCTAGTAAAACAGAGTTATTCAATTTCTACCAATGAATCCCCCTAAATCCGACACACTGTTCCTTTAAGAGCATTACCATTGTACCAAAACAGCTAACTGTCATGCTACAGACTACATCAGGGTATGAACAACCAACCAAACAGGACACAGCTTCTCTGGAAAAAATATAGCCGCCAATGTTTCATTGCTCCCCAAGAAGGTGGGGCAGTACGGCAACAGCTGATCTATCCCCACTCAGCATTGGACAAAAGATGACGCGTGATTACAGTTGGATAATTTTATAGAATATAAACTAAACTAAACTAAAGGTAGCATGCAAAAAACATTTTTCGCGTTCACCATGGGCAGATCTAAACCAGTGTATCCAATAATCTCACATGTACCAACCTGCTCTCTGGGCACCATGCTCATCATCGTCTTGGTTCAATGCTTCCCAATATTGGGTGACAGACGAGTCCATGTGTACACTAGTGCTGTTCGACCATGGATGAGGCGAGGAAAAGCATCACGTACAGCCCATGTGTGGTCTCGACCCGTCAGCCCTACACCCTGCAGAGGACTGGAATTTAATCTGTCCTCAGAGAATGTGCCGACACATGCTTTTCAGTGACGGTTGAATGCCGGCCTGCTTGTTGATAGGCCAACATGGTCCAGTTAAAGTTCAGCAGAATTAACAATACTGCTTTTAATTCCAGTAGTCTGATGTGGCAATGTTGGTGTAGTTTTCCACCTCAGAGATGGTCCCTCTGCCAGGACTTTATAGGCACTGAAAGCCGAGCATAGTCCAGCTGTATCCCTAAACATATTTCTTCCCCTCAACTATGTGGATAACAACTCATGATTTAGTCCATGCCATAGGAGGAGAGATTCATGTCCTAGCTTTGAAGTGGTGATGCATGTGTGCCTTGCCCACATATTTTGAGAAGTTGCAGCAGTTCATGTCTGAACAATTTATCAGAACATCCTATTTATGGGCTAATGGCTCGCAAAGGGAGTTTGCAATGCCTGGAACGAATGATCGAAACCAGTTTCAACATTTCTTGCAGCTTCAGTGTCCAGAATGGTCTCTGGTTTGATTCCCTGGCAGTTGCTTTGGTTGTTGTTTCCCGTCTTTGTTCTGTTACCTCACACCTGTCTACTCTTTGGTTAAAGGTACAAATTGAAATACTACTCAGCAAATTTGATGTATGAGTTTACAGTCCAGCCACGGCATTCTCTCCATTGACGGATAGGTGGAAACTTCCAACATTAGGGAGAGCATTGCATCAATCATTGTTAGAGCGGAAAGTCAACTTCACAGCCATGTGGTATTAAATCAATGTCCAGAGGGGTCCGAAGTAGTAATGGTGCTACACCTCTTGCGACTTATCAGCCGGTGCAGGATGCTGGTAGTGCACGATGTCCTCATCGTCGGGGGTTGATTTGATGGCAGTAACTGAAATCGAACAGGAAGAGCAGAACTACAGTGCAGCCGTCCTCGTCCGGATTGTTGTCATAGTTGCTGAAGGTTTCTAGGTCGACACCGCCCTTTCAACAACACTGAATGGGTTCAAGCTGATTTTCTGAGCACATTTTTTCCCGAAATTTCAGCGCTGAAATATGTGAGGCTTTGAGAATCAGAGGCACGGAATCACAGAAAAAAGATGAATCTGGTACGCACGTTGTGAGCTTCAAGGCTTTGGTCCAACGGAACATCGGATGCCCGGAGAAAACACCCAGACAGCTGTGGAAGGTTGCAATAGTTTGTCTCCGTGTGCGTTGCTGTGTCTCGGGTCAGATGAAGCAAATTTTTTGTTCGCCCAAACAAATTGTTTCTCTGTTTATTTGCCTTTTCTTGTCTTTTCTGTGAAACTTAATGACAACGTCGGAGATTTAATCTGCGTGTGCGGTCACGGACCTCTGAGTAAACTCGCTCTTCCCCGCTGTGTTGATCCCTCTGTTTTCAGTATTCGATTTCTGCAAGAAAAAGCATAAACCAGTGTGAGATGGTCATGTTTATTATCATTACAGCCGTTGGTCTTACTGGCTCGGAGGAATCTTTGGGTTTGGCATCTCTCCAAACACGCTACGATCATGCACCCATTCAAACAAACATTCTCCACATTTTTTCAAAGTATTTTTCCTTGACAGACCATTACGGTGACGTTGCAACCGAATCCACCTCTAAATTATCAGAGTGCCATTTTGCTGGGCCAGCTGGAGGGAAGGAAGGCACGGGAGAACCAGAACCAGGACTGAGCGGAACAGACTGTCAGACACCGCTGCAGTAAAATGAGAGGGTTTTCTAAAGGGACTCTGGTGCTCGGAAACACTACCACTTTTGTCCACGGGGGCAACACAAAATCAAAGTTCTTTGAGGGAACTCAAAGGTTCAGGAGGTGGAGTCGACAGATGATAATGAAACAAAAAAGATTATTTCTGTGATGTAGATGGAGGTGCACATTGAGATTTGATTAACAACACAACCAGGAGGGATAATGTATTGTGTGGTTGTGTGGTTCCCAGCGAAAATATCCGTGGGTAAGTCCCTGATGAACTAATTAAGTGAAACAAAGTTCTTGTAATGTAAACTTTCTCTGAAAAGTTTGTCGCTCATTGTAAGCCTTTGCTTAACACAAGTCTCGCACATTTTGAGTTTAAATTACACTCATACAGAAACTTCTTGGCTTTATGTCTTTGCGATTAAACTCAGGCAGCAACCTCCGGGCTGAAAAGTGAAGTCAATACGGAGGTGGGGGCAACTCCTCTGGTTGTACAGAAGTCTATGAGAAAATGACTCTACTTCTCTCTTGATTTAATACTTCAGTAAACATTGTAAACATGAGTTTATGGTCTCAATCACTAGTTTCAAGTGTTCAATACAGCATGATATTGATTTGGTAAATTATGGTCCAATTTAGTGTAAAATAAACCATAAAGTAGGATACGCATTAGGGCAGGGCTACCTTGTGATTGACAGGTCGCTACCTCGGCGTTGTCTGGTTTTGGAGTTGTCCCTGTTTTCACTTTTCAAAAACTGTGTTTCTTAAAATGATGTTGTAAGTTATCCCCTATATCTGAATAGTCTTTCCAACTTCCCCTACTAAACTTAAGCTGGGAGTAACTAATGTTAATGCTAGCTTATTAGCTCTTATGCTGCGGGCAACACAGAAACTAGTGCCCATTTAATAGGCTATGTAGTTATGTTGGTGGCTTTTTTTTTTTGCAATATATTGATATGATAGTAAAAGAATAGCATGAGCAAAGAGCTAGGCCTCTACCGCCTAAGCTTATAGGAGTGTTTACCGTAACTATCTAACTGTTTCCCTCTGCCAAGGCCACAAAGACTACAGAGCAACAGGGACATCAGCACGTCATTTCTACACACACGCACACACACACACACACACACAAACAGACACGCACAGGTGCAGAGCAATGCAGTATTGAGTTGTGGAGACACAAAGCGTGTAACCATGAGTATAATAGTGATAATGTCTGCTAATGACATAAATGATGCGCCAGGAATAGTCAACCTCCCGAAATAGAGCAGGGGACGGGTGTCATTAAACAGACTCCACAGAAAGGTCCTTTGTTTGGTGTGTGTGTGTGTGTTTGGTGTGTGTGTGTGTGTGTGTGTGCGTGCGTGCGTGTGTGTGTGCATGTGTGTGTGTGCCTGCTGGCAGTAGTGGTGGTGGCGATGGTGTTGGTGTGAGATTTAAGTGGTTGTTCCTGTTTTTTGGTGTGTCTTTGTGTCTTTATTTTGCACATGCAGTCAGTGTGTCACAAGCACTGAGAAGTGAAATGTTGTGAGTTGTTCTGAAAAGGGAACGTGCAAAACAACGTGCACACGTGCACATCCTGCAAGCAGATTGGGTCCATTTGTGTGACCGTGAGGGCGTTGCAACTTTTGAAACACTTTGAACGTGGCAGAAAATGTCAAAGTTGCAACGAGATTGAAGATAAACAATTCACAGCTGCAAGTACTTGCAGCAGTTCAAGGCAGACGTCAATGTCATCACCACTGTCACACATGAGCAAATGCACTGTCATCACCAGCAATGCCCTTGTATTCTTTATTCAATCAAAAGTTCAGAAGTTGCTCAGCAGCCACTGATTTGAAATTGAAGAGAGAAAAAAGCTAAGCGTGAAGAACCTGAAACAAGTTGTTATTCTGATGGATAAAAGCAATGTATCTGTCATAATAACATGTTTTTTAAGTAAAAACCTATTCTGGAAAAGTAGCTGCAGTCAGACATGTGAGAAATGTTTTATTGGAAGTTAAAATGTAACATCTCACCAAGCACCTGAGCAGTTTTTTGGTAAGAGCCCGGGGGAGGCAGGAGTCGGGACTGTGTGTATCTTGTGTTTTAAAGTAAGATCCTGCAAGGAAGAGCCCTGGAGGCTGAACCATTCCCATGACATCAGTCCTCTGCTGAGGATTTACAACAAGTCCGAGAACTCCACTTTCATCTCCACACGTCAGCAGCCCTGTAACCAAAATAAGTCTTTAAATGGGTGTTAAAGAAAGAGGTTGAATTAACGGAGCGTTGCGCATTTTCAGGGAAAGTAAAAGTTATAATGCGTCCTTGTTAGATGAAGTTCCGTCTGGCTGCAGACGGGAGAGGATGCTCGCATCGGTGATGTGATTGGCCCATCTCTGCAGACTCCTGGCTCGAAGCTATAAAACCCAGCACCGTCACTCTGTGCGTCAGAACGCAGCCGGAGAACAGTAGAGCGGAGAGTCCGGACGCACTGGACACACCGTGAGCTGTCGCTGCTGGAGCCCACCGAATAAACCGCAATTACTCACCAAGCACCCGGCCAATTAGCGGAACTCTGCTGGAATTATTGATCGGAAAACTTTGAACCACACCAGAACTCAGCGGTCCGGTAAGTTCGAAATTGATCACGGCATCGACCTTGATTCAGCCTAATCAAAATTGAATTGTTCGCGGTCAAGGAGCGGTTTGGACTGTTCACTTTGCGCGGAAGTAACAGCCACATGACTAAATACTGCGCCTCTTTGATTAGGGCTAAATTAATTCTGAACTGCACTGGCGCAGTGGAGAAAACTTTTAAAATAAAATAATCTCTATCCTTCTCTCTATTTATTCATCTAAATCATAGGGCTGGGGATTTTATTAACTGGTATTCTTTCGTCTGCGTGAACCATTTCACATTTTCATAATGTTAATCACACCCCGTAGAATTTAATCTATAAAAATACAGTTAACGCCCAACTGATGCAGGACCCATGCATGACTGCAGGTAATGAATTCCTGTTGCCACGTTCACGTGCCAGAAGTACACGTTCTCATACAAATATGAAGCAATTTATTTGTAATTCAAACTGGTCATTTACACGTTAGTGCATGTCTGCCATAATTGCAACCTATTGGGTGGAAAAAAAATGTTTTCTTGTAAAATCATTATTATGTGTTTGTCGAAGTTGAAAGAAGTGATGCACGAAAACAAAAAGCATCATCTTTCTATGAGGATATTGTTCTGCTTTCAGAGCAAATGCAGGGTCTGAAATTCACTTTTATAACTGCAATTCGGCTAAATTGGTCGCACACCAAATGAATGAAGTAAGGATGAATTAACATTCCTTCACTGATGAGCTCTTAAGTGTGAACTGACCACAACAAAGTGAAAGTGACTTGATGATTTGTGAATGGGGCAGTGGTAATGCAGGATACATCCTGCATTACTTCATGCATTAAATCATCACGAGTCATGCATTTGTTAAGCCAATTGCTTTATATGATTTGTTCCCTGATTATGAAGTGTTACCATTTCCCTTTTCACCATTAAAACTCATTCCGTCTGTTGCACTGGACTTGTTGAATGTTTTGTGCGCCGTTTGAAGCAGATGAGTGACTGGAGGGCCTCAGAGATGCTACCATGACTACATCATGTTACGCTGTTGAGTATAGAGTGCTTTGTTGCAGCTCATATCAGCACGGTCTGATCTGTCCGGGCTAGTCACACAGTGAGCACACTTTTTCGATTTTGTGATCTGTAGCTTAGTGCAGCTTATGTGTTGGCTTTTCACAGAGGGGCTCGGGTTAAGGTTTCCTTAAAATAAAAGCCATTGCACAAAAGAAAACCTAAGTCTCCTCCTTAAGGTTTCCTTCAAAGTTTTAACCTGTGCAGCCAAAGTAAAGAAAAAAAACTCTGACTATCATAAGTGCAACATGCCAGAGATGAATGATATGCAGAGTTTATAGTTGGGGCTGAGTGATAATTCCACATAATAATGTATCATCCTTCAGTGGAGTCATATCGTGGTGAAATGATATAGAGATATCATGAGGCACAATTACACCGTCTAAATTGATAATAAAAAGTGCAACTCACATTTTTCAAATAATTGGAATATTTTGCACCGACGTTCTTGATTAAATGAGAAAGTACTTTGCATTTTCTCAAGTTTTCAATTCAGAGTAACCAGACTATTGAATTACCAGAAAACATGCTATATCGTGATATATATATATATATGGTTATCGAGATATTAAATTATCTATAGTAGAACAGAAGATTTTGTTCATGTCACCCAGCTCTATTTAGAGTGAAAATGAAGAGAGTTCTGCGACCGGGAGAACTGCTTTAACACCACAGATATGACCTGTCAATTCAATGCCGCACCTTTGCAGTTGGATAACAGCTGCTCTTGCAGCCCCCCTGCAGTTAATGATTGCTCTACCATTTTATGCTACTGGATCTTTAAGTCAGTAGGCAAGGTATTGTTTGAATTATTTTTTCGTTGCAATTATCCTCCAAATCGTCAAAGTACGTGCTTTTCTTGTATTGTATTCCTCCAGAAGTAGAATCTTTTTTTCCTTTCACCAATTTTGTTCTCGCGTTAACCAAGGAAACCTTTTATGGGACTCTTGTGCAACACTCTTAAGTAGCCCCCTCAGGATTGATTCAACCTAAAGTATCTCACCCAGGGAGAAAAATTAAGGTGTTTCTTGCAACACTCCTGTTTCTTGCAACACTCCTCAGAGGGAACTGGCAAAAAAAACAAAAAACAATTTCAAACTTGTGAATCTACAAAAAGAACCCCAAATAAGGCTGTAAACTTTTAACTGACACAACTGTGTAATTCGGTTCAGTGGAGCTAAAACGCAGCTGGTGTTTTTCTTTTTGAATTATCCTTTCTTTTTAAAGAACAATCTGATGCATTGATGTTCGTATTTCTCCTCACATGCAGCATTCCTGTTTGGACCATAATGTGTTTCTGTTAATCCAACCTTGAGACGGGGCTTATGGTTTTCCTGTAATTGTTCTTCTTCCTACGAGGACATTTGCCTTCCCATGCATGAAGATAAACAAAACTTTTCACGGCGGTCCAGTCCTGTATGCCAAACTTCCTCAACTAGCATAGTGAGCTAACAGATGGTGGTGCTACAGCAGCCGTATGAAGTTTAAATCAAATTCATAACTACAACATGTGGGCCCAAGTGAGCAGAATTGTTCCGATGTCATGGTAGAGTGTTGTACATTTCAGTTTTAAATTGTATCCTCATGTAAGCTATTGCAGCCAATCTTTAAATACCAGTTTGTCACTTATGGAGCAATCAATCTTTGTGAAAATAAATTGCAGACCTCTCAATGTTGTCAAGATGAAGTACAAACATTCTCAGCATTTTGTCTTGAGAACTGCATTTTTGGCACTGGCTTGAAATATGCCTTTACATATGCAACCCTGGTGACTGCAGAAGTCTCGGTACGTGATCAGGACTGCCCCTTCATGTTTAGGGTCGACAGTTGGAGATCCTGGGTGATGCAGAAGGAACATGCTAATGCCAACTCAGGCATTGTCCTGTGTGGATTAGAGGCACATCAGTTCTAAGATATTTGTAATTTAAGAAATTTTAAATTACTATGGTCAAGACATTTCTGCTGACCTGTAGTAATAAGTACGTTTACTCAGGTTCTTAAGTACAATTTTGAAAGTATTAGTATTTTACTCGTAGTATTTCGATGTTATGCTACTTTGAACTTCTACTAAATCTATAAACTACAATATATTCTTTAAGATCCAACAGTAGTTTACAACTCGTGTGGCATAGTTGGGGCCCATTCTCTCGTGTCAGATGTCTATAAGTTGTTATCTGGTTATTCTTTATCTTCATCAATTTATCAAGCCACAGACCCAGTATTAGTAACAGCATTAAGCCGTTCCATCTCACAAGCTCTGGCTCAAAGTCACATTTAGGTTGTGTTTTTTCTTCTAAATACTGCGCATTTATTTCTCAAGTGTTCCTTTTAAATAGAATCCATTGTGCTTCCACCCTCCCCACATCGCTCTCTTACTGCCTCCAGGTCACTCTCGTGACTCCTGTCCTCAGGCAAAGCAACTCAGCTCTCTCTCTTTCCCCTCTTCTGATTTTTCCTTTCCTGTGTTTTCCTTTTTCCGCCAATTGTTCTTGGGAACGGCTCAGAGCATCAAACTGTCAGTCCTCTCAATCTTGGCCTCTTTTCTTGACATTCTGTTCCTGCATTTATGTGTTTCACTTTTAAAGCACCTTTTTTTTTTTATAGTTTCTCATGCTCCTCTCCCCACTAATGGCCCCTTTATTTCACCTTGCTGGTTGCCAACTTTCCACCTCTGTCTTTCTAAGAAGTGGAGCCAGCAGAGCTCAAGGTCAGAGAGGGTTTCTAAAGTCAAATCTATTAGATTTAGAGGATCAACCGGCTTAAAATCCAGCTTTCCAATTAGATCAGACAAGGCTGCTCTGACATGGCCTAATGAGGCACCATGTTGCACAACACAAAGGCATAATTCAATTTAGTTTTGTATAGCCCAAAATCACAAATTACAAATTTGCCTCAGAGGGCTTTACAATCTGTACACATGTGACATCCTCTGTCCCAGGACCCTCACATCGGAACAGGAAAAACTCCCCCAAAAAACCCCTTTAACGGGGAGAAAAGAGGACGAGACCTGTGGGACAGAGGAGGGATCCCTCTCCCAGGATGGACAGAAGTGCAATAGATGTCATGTGTACAGAATGAACAGAATTACAACACATTCAATGCATATGACAGAACCACGGCAGGAGGCAAGACCAGGTCCAGGTATAACCCGGATCCACAGGAACCTGTGAGGCGAGAAAGCACAGAGAATCTGGTGAAGAAGCAAAGTCAATAATGTGCATTAATGGTATTGGTAATATAAAATAGTAATGTGAGTAATAATAAAAGTGATATTAGCAGTGGGAGTCAGCAGGGCCATGGCGGGAGGAAGGACCAGGGTCCAATTCAGATGATACAGAGGATATGTAAGGACGAAAAATCTTTTAAAACTGATTTCTTGTGGTGTGTGTGAGTTCATCCATGTGACTTTGTGTCTGCGAACAGAATGGGCCTCTGTGTTTCTGAGCCGTATGCAGCCATGAATGCCAGTTGTGTTTGACAGTGTGTGTGTGTGTGCGTTTGCATGGTGTGTAACTGGGGTCGCAAGAAGTTTTGTAAGTGTATGCACATTCTTAGATGTGAGCATTAAAAAGCAAAGCGTTTGTCCTCGAACCTTCGCCTCTACAAACCGCTGTGTCAAAAGGTTTGCATCTGTTGTGTGTGTGTGTGTGTGTGTGTGTGTGTGTGAGATTGTGCGCCCTGATAGCGTGTCTCTAAAGATATTGCCGACATTGTAAATCATCCCGAGAAATGCCCCAGGCCATTCTGGGGGTACACATAATTCTCAAGAGGGTCAGAGCCCAGTTAGCGTCGTCTGTGAAAGAGAGTATTTCTGTCACATACACACACACACACACACACACACACAGGACACACAGAAACACTGTTCCTCATGTAACCTATAACCTCAGTTATCACTATTCCATTTGTCTCGTTTATCTTTTGCTGCTCTGTTCATTTCATCCCCTCTGTTTTCTCTTAGAATACTTTTCTACTTTTCAAAACACAAAAAAGTTTCTTTGTTTTGTTGATGGAATTCAAAGAATATCAGAATCAAAATGATTTAAAAAAACGTATTCATCCAGAACCTATTTCCTCATGAAGAAGGATCTGTTTGAATTAACTGTGCTATCGATACAGTTTGTGAACAAAACCATACACTTTTCGTATGCTGACGGTTCGTCTACTTTCTCTCTGCAGGACACCCAGAGCTCGGATCCACGCTGCCAGGCCCGGAGCGGGGCCCCCCCGATGTGTGGATGCGTGTGTGAGTGCCTTTAAAAGCGTGTGTCTGTAGACTGCCGACATGAGGGCCGTCACCGCTCTGGTCTGTCTCCTGATGGTCGCCGAGGTCGGAGCCTCTCGGTTCGCCCGCGACGCCCAGGATGGCCTCGCGGCTTCCGAGCCATCCACGAGCAATGCCTCCGTCCCGCTGCCGGCGCTGCAGCCGGGTCGGCCGCGGGGCTCCTTCCCCCCCATGTGCATAAAGCCCACGGAGATCAAGTACGCCTTCAAGTACGTCAACACCATCGTGTCCTGCCTGATCTTTGTGGTGGGCATCATCGGCAACTCAACTCTGCTCAGGATCATTTATGAGAACAAGTGCATGAGGAATGGACCCAACGTCCTGATCGGCAGCCTGGCTCTGGGGGACCTGCTCTATATCATCATCGCCATCCCCATCAATGTGTTTAAGGTGACCACATTTATCCCTCGCGTCCGTCTGTCTGGTGTCTCCTCTGCTTGTGTGACCGATGATCACTCTTTTTAACTTTTTGGAAATGAGGGTAACGTTATCAATCCATGACACAAAATCGCAACTCAACAATTTCACACATTGTGCAAAAAGTGATTTCAATTCTGTCTCTAATTTAGTGTGAAAATGTCGCCGCGCTGGACTTTCGGCAGTTTCGGATGAGCCGGTTGGAACGTCCCTCTCGGCTCATCCTGTTTATAGATGTGTTCGTTGCTGCGGTTTTGTCCCTGCGTGTCGTGTGTTTCATTGTTAACTTTTTAAGTATAGGCCCGCAGAGTTTTCCACCTCCACTGCAAGAGCCCACTCAAGCTCAAAATTGTAATAAAAGCAGACGCATGCCAACAGCTGGGGGACAACTCGAGTGCTGGGATTTGGGAAAAAAAAATCCTTTTGTTGTCCTCGTTGGCCATGCCTGATGTGAAAAGACCCAGTGGGCTCGGGTGTTAATGCCAAAATGTTCAGCTCATACTGTTTTTGGCTGCCAAAAAACAACATGTGAAACTTGTTGCACTTTCAAAACACATTTTGTTTTCCGTAAAGGTCCCGCGTTTCAGGTATTTGAGACATCATGAAGATTATAATGAGACACGGGATCCGCTGAATTGATAACAGGAGTGTTTTCTTCGAAAACTGGAAGATTTCAAAGACAACAAAACCAAAGTGTCGATTTCTATTAGTGGCTGACAAGTACAAGGCCACTCACAATAATTACATGTTTAGCCTGATTTGCTGTTAAAGACATTGTCCTTATGCTGAACTGATTTTATAACTCCTGGGAGACAAACTTGCTCACTGCACGTTTGGAGGAACTGTTGATTCTGGCTCACTGGCACAATAACAGTCTCAGGCAGGACCGCTACGCAGACCTCAAAGACGTTTGTCCATGTGTGACACTTCTCTCCTTACAAATGTCTCTCCTCTCTGTCCCCATTGTTTCTTCTCCGCAGCTAATAGCCGAGGACTGGCCGTTCGGCGTGTACATCTGTAAGCTGATGCCGTTCATCCAGAAAGCTTCAGTGGGAATCACCGTCCTCAGCCTGTGTGCTCTCAGTATTGACCGGTATGTGGTCTTCTGCTCTTCACACACACACACACACACACACACACACACACACACACACACACACACACACACACGCAAAAGTCAGTGCTGATGCTCACGTCTGTGCTGTTTGCGTAGCTACCACGCAGTGACGTCGTGGAGCAGGGTGAAGGGGATGGGCATCCCTCTGTGGAAAGCGGTGGAGGTGACTCTGATCTGGCTGGTTGCCGTGATGCTCGCGGTCCCCGAGGCGCTGGCATTCGACATGCTGGAAATGCCGTACAGAGGCAACAAGCTGCGCGTGTGTCTGCTCCATCCGGAACAGACAACCAGCTTTATGAAGGTAAAAATCCTCCGAATGTGACTCATTCTAACATTCAGTGTGTTCATGGAGTTTCAACCCAAGACGTGAAATTACAAAGTGGGTTTTTTATTTGAAACAGAAGGGTCTGGATTGCAGGAGACGGTGGAAATAAAGCATTAAGCTCTTTTCATGTGTCATTTTGAATCAGTGGATTGTAACTCGAGCTTGATGTCATTTTTCCAAAAAGACATAATTCAGCCAGAGCTGGTGGATTACTTTGAGGAGAAAATTGGAAGACTTTGTGTCAAACCAAAACAAGTCTGGAACCTATTTAGCATATTTGTGCCAAATTTCAAGTTCTGGATGTGCGATAACATCGCATAGTCAATGTAGAACATCAGGCCTTAATCATAGTGCTTTTGAACAGGTCGTGTGGTATTTAGACTTGTAATCTTGTAAAATTAATTACAGAAATTTAAATAGAACAAACATACATTAAAAAAAAAAAAACACACATTGTGACACTGTGCAGGGAATCAGACTGTTTTATTGGTTTTGCTTTTTGGTTCATTCCTTTTTTTTAAATAAATCAAAACAAATAATGGTTTACTTATTGACCGTGCAGTTTTAAGAACAGAATATCATTGCAGTAAGATAAGATATAGAATATTTTACCGTCTGTGCTATTATAAAAACAGGAAAGTGAGTTCATTCTTCAGATTGAAATTCAAGGTTGTTTTTGTCTACAGGACGTCCTGTCAAAAATCTCTGACGTAAGAATATTAGTAATAAAGTGTTTTGAGGCAGAAGTAACAATTTATACAGTTTTGATACAGTTTATCAGTTTAAACTTTGAAAGAGAGAAAAGAAATTGGCATTATACGTTTCTGCAAAACCACAGATATGTTGACTCTTTAAAAAATGTATCTAAGAAATTTCCGTAGCACTGTATCTTTTTTGTTGCACTCTTTGACTGGGTCTCTTTTTCTTTGTCCAGTTCTACCAGGATGTGAAAGACTGGTGGCTGTTCGGCTTCTATTTCTGCCTTCCGCTGGCCTGCACAGGAATCTTTTACACACTGATGTCGTGCGAGATGCTCAGTCGCAAGAAGGGCATGCGCATCGCACTCAACGACCACATGAAACAGGTACGCGTGCGAACGACTCGCTCGGATCCACTGTAGCCACGAGGCTTGTAAAGGCGGAGGCCTCAACGTTTGTCTTTTGTGTGCGTGTGTGTGCAGCGGAGGGAAGTAGCAAAGACGGTGTTCTGCCTGGTGTTGATTTTCGCTCTCTGCTGGCTGCCCCTTCATCTCAGCCGTATTCTGAAGAAAACAATCTATGACCAAAACGACCCTAACCGCTGTGAACTGCTCAGGTACCGTAGACACACCGCAAACGTCAGAGCATTGTTCTCCGCTCTGCGACTTCCTGTAGTCGTTACTGTAACCTTTGCCCTTTTCACCCGCCCAGCTTCCTGTTAGTGATGGATTACATCGGCATCAACATGGCCTCCCTAAACTCCTGCATTAACCCGATTGCCCTCTACTTTGTCAGCCAGAAGTTTAAAAACTGCTTCCAGGTAAGAGGGTACACACTGGGACTAAAAAAATATTGTGTTACTCGGAAACGCAGTCAGCAAAAAGTAAACGACTGTGTGCGTGTGTGTGTTTTCTTGTCTCGCAGTCTTGCCTGTGCTGCTGGTGCTACAGAACGTCTCCACTGGACGAACGGGGTTCAGGAGGACGCTGGAAGGGCTCCTGTCATGGGAACGGACTGGACCGCTCCAGCTCCCGCTCCAGTCAGAAATACACCAGCTCTTCATAAACACATAAACACACACACACACACACACACACAACTCTTCTGTCATACACCACACGTTCCAATCAGCTCCCACCAACGAGAAACAGCTGCCGATGCCCAACCGACCAGTGAGGAGAGAGAAAACGGAGCGAGGTGGAAGTCACTTCTACGGGACTCACAACAGACTGAAAAACCAAAAAGGTTTTGGATGGAGCCAAACTGATGAATGAAGCAACAGGACTGTACCTGTTGTAGGCCGCCATACCAACTGCAAAAAACAACGTATGATGAATACGTTCATGCTCCCGAACACTGAGACTTGTGCAGAGGACTGAACGTGTTCTCAGTGGACCAACACGATCCACACATTTATAAAGAAGGTTTAACGCCACATGTAAATATATGTACAGGATTATTTACGAGCAGACTGCAGACCCATGATTATACTGTACCTAGCCAACGTATAAAACCGTTTCCGGTAAGTTCTACCTGTTGAGGCTTTCGATACCTCACAGGGAAAGAGAGGGGAACTGTGATCCTGAGTTGTGTTCCCAAAGGTCTTTTTTTTTTTTTGTTTTATTTTTATAAAAATGCACGACTGCGCCTCGGCATATAAACACAAAAGCTAAAAATCCCACAATCAACTGCATGCTGTCGCTGAGCTCCCCGACATCCCATGTGCCCCGGTGACATGAAATGGGGCCCACTGTCACGTTGAGAACCAATCATCGAAAATCTTTTATCTGGAAATCATCGCCGCTCGGAGTCATGTGGAGGCCAACTGTTGTCCTGGAACTCTGAAAAACAGCAGATGATTCCAGTCATGCTGCACAGAGGAGATCCTTTATCAGTGCTTTCATTCTCGCAGCGTTTGTCCCACTGTGTGAGACTTAACCTCTCCTACAATGAAGCTTTTCTATTTTTCTACAAAGTAAATCACAAAAGATGTGAAGCCTGTTTAATCTCCCAGCATGAGGTGTCCATTTGTTGTTTCCAAATATTTCCCCTCCAGTGGTCATGTTGCAAACATTTTCCATGTGGCCGGAGAATGTCTTCTGAGAGCAGCTGGCGGGGAAATCGCTCCAAATATTGACCAATTTGTGTATTAAGATGCGAGCTGTTTTATTGGGGATTACATTTATATAACTTTGTAATGGTCATAGAAAATACTTAGATATACTAGTTGCTTCCTTTTAAATGTAATCGAGGTAAATGTTTTCTCTTGCAAAACCAAATCTGTGCTGAGAAACCGGACACGGTGCTTGTCCACACTGAAGTAGATTTGATTTATGTCGTATGTTCGGACAGAGTATTTCCATTTCCGCTGTAAAAGAGTGAACTGGCTGATGATGCGGTATGCGACCCATTAGGTCGTCATATGTATTTATATGGATATGTATTTCTCCCTGTTTTTAGATACATCTAGAGGCGACTGTGTACTGGAAAGTGGGACCAAGCTAAGACTTTTATAAGTAATTTTAGGTTTGAAGATCAAATGCAATGTGAATATTGGCCCTGGTGTTTTAAATCCCATTTATACTTATTTGTTGAGAGTATGCTGTAATAAATATTATTTTATAGCATTTGTGTTGTTTGAGTTATTCACTAAAATAGTGTGCATGTATTTAGGGTCATGTCCGGTCAGTTGTGATGCAGTCTCATAGTCGAGTACAAATTATTACACAATATATCTGCATACATCGAAGGTTCCCTGTGGAGTTTTTGACCTCTAATAGAGCTGTTACTTCATCTGGGTTTCACATTATTCCACTGATTGACAAGTGGCTCTCGTGCACCAACATGTGCTCCAATTCGCAGAACAAGTAGGGTGCTAGCAAGTTAACATGGATGTAAACAATGCTGGATTCAGAATTCCTAAAAAAAACTTGTGTTCTGCTGCAGGATATGACCTCATCTGAAACTTTACTTTTGGACCAATCAAGCATGTACAGAGCAGCTGGCATGCACCCTAACAGAAAGGAAGCAGAACAGCCGACTGTAAATATCCAGTTTATAGCTTTTGACTCCGATATGTATCAAGAAAAGACCTGATCCAGAGCCTTGTGTCTCCCATTATTACATTCAGCTGCAACTACATATTCTCACTCCCAATTTCACGGAGAAATACGCTTGGTCGGTGGCCACAAGCTTCAAACTGTGACGCTCTACGTACCCCTCCAGCGTCAGTGTTCTGGACGTGTCGGTGACGGCGTGTCATTAGGCTCGTTCGACTTAAGCCAGGTGTGCGCAGAATCGATCACCGGCGATCGGCGTACAATGCATGCTGGGTAGATTTGCGTCCGACTTGCTCTGACGTCATGAAAACGTGCGTAACGATGATCTCACGTGAGCGAGGCGGCCGCAGATTTTAGAGCCAGGCTATGCAGAATTGCTCTCCACCGACTGCGTGACCCCAGGGCATGATGGGAAACTTCTTGCTGTCTTCGGATCAAAGAGCTGATTGGCTCTTAGATTTTCTTTAGTGGAAAAGGTGGGCGATCGTGGCTCACTGGGTTAAGAGGGTTGTCTGGTGACCACAAGGTTGTTCGTTCGAACCATGGCCTTTGACGTGTCGCATGTCAAAGACAGCCCACTGCTCCCCATATATAGGGATGGGTCAAATGCAGAGACAAATTTATCCTTAATTAACAGGATAAATATAGTATAAAAAATTGAAATCATTATTTTCTGTCTAATTGTAATACTTAACACTAGATTGTTGGCTATTAGTCTCATATTGTGCAATAACAATAATAATATATAAGGTTATTTATTTAGCATCTGTAAATAAAGATATTTATTGAGAAAGCCTACATCCTACTTGATGTCAACATGTTTTCAGTCAGAGCACTGGAATGTGCATCGATTAATGATTGTGAAGCATCACAAAACGTATTAAAAGAAAAGCACAATTGTCACTGATGGAAACTTGCAGCGTTGCTTTTCCTCCGTGTGTAGCCTGTTTATGTAGCTGTGATGTTTGGACAGTTGGTTCAGTTTTTAAATTTCTTAAATTTACGGTTGTATGATTTAGAAATGACGCTATCTTCACATATATTTATTTATATAAATGTTTAAATAAATATGACATCCAAAAACTAAAATATGCCCAATCTTATATCCTCAATTATAATAATAACATAGTTAAATATATAAAAAGACATCCAAATTTAAAGACCAGCAATTTTGGGGTTAAGTGTCTTGCTCAAGGACACATTGACATGCTCCTAGTGTAGCCAGGGATCAAAGTGCCACTCCTCTGATTGAAGGACAGCCCTGCACTCCACTTAGCCACAGTCACCCAAGATCAGTTCTAGACTATGGCTGTGTGGCATATAGGTCGGCGTCTAAAACCTTGTTGGGAAAACTGGATGTAATACAAGCGTCAAGAATATGTAGTGGGGTCTTTAAAACAACATCTGTGCCGGCATTGCAGGTAGAAATGGGGGAAATGCCGTTGGAGTTGAGAAGAATCCAGATCATGATGACATATTGGGTCAGTTTACAAGGACATAACAACTATCCAACAATAAGTGCAATTGAGCCTTGCTGGGAACATGACAACAGGCCAACAAAGAGCTTTGGTTGGGTTGTTAAGAAGAAGGCTAGTGAATTAGGTTATAGGAGTTATTCTCCAGCTGTGGTCCAGCTGTTACTCTTTGGTTACTGCCACAGCCTGGAATTGATCTTGGCCTCCTTGAACTGATGAGAGATGAACGTGGGGGAAACTGTAAGATCTTCAAGTCATACATCAGTTACCACAATTAAATACAGATTTATGGATCTAAAGACCCTAAAACTGGTAGAACAGCAGCAGCAGCAGTAATCCCAGAATTCCATTTGGAGTGTGGGAAGAGACTTAGTGATGATTTATTTGTGTTTACATGTGAGATGATGGCCATATAGTTATTGCCTTACAGTGGGTAGAGGATGTCAGGCCAGAGAGAGTGGTGATTGCATCAGACTCATGTGCAGTGCTAACGAGTTTGACATGTTGCCACTCCAGAAGCAGAGAGGATTTACTGTTTGAAATCCATCAAATGCGGATAGCGGTTAATTTTGTGTGGGTCCATGTTGGAGTCGATGAGAAGGCGGATAAAGCAGCAAAAAGGGCTTTGAAGAGTGGGAAAAATAACGTTAATGTAAATATAGGTAAATCAGAAGCTAAAGTGGTGATTAATAACCTCTTAAGCTCGGGCCCTATTTGTAGGCCTCTGCTCGAAAATAGCATACCCACACTAAAGTGACCATAGTTCTGTAACTACAAGGTCTATTTTAATAATTTTTGTTGATATAATCAGATCACAACACTTGTGAGATTGTTCAGATGGGTAATATTGTGTATATGTTGCTGGTTAATATAGTAATGAAGACATTACACAGCTCAAATTGAAAATAATCAGGTTCGCCTGAAAAAAAAGCACTTTTATTGATATAAGGTTGTTGAAATAATGCAGATATCTCCCTAAAAACTCTCCCAAATCATAGCACAACTGATCAGTAGTTGCTGAGTAAAGGTTAAAGTGGGATAAAGTGAAGAATAAGAGGCTTTAGTAGAGAGCGGTCAAGCGAGGTCATCATTTTCGAACCAGCTGTTGCAGCTCTTACATTGTACTTTTATATACTATATAACTATATATTTCACTTTTTTATCACTCATATTATTCAATACATCCAAATACAGCTGTTAGGAATCATTTTGAGATTCCTAACATCATCAGAGCCTGTTTCTGGCTGTCATCTATAGGATTTTCTCAGTTCATGTGTGTGTATGGGGCTGTATCTCAGCCTATCATCGGTCGATTTCAGAAAATAAGCCCTCCTTCGACGCGTCAGAGTCCCAGGAAGGCCTGTGTCGAATTTGGTGTTGATTGACAGAAGTTTCAACCAGTAAAGTTGCAAGAAGTGCCGCGTCTCCCCATGCCTAAATTTCCGCTCGCAGGAAGTCTGACCGCTCGCCCAAACTGGATTGACCGCTCTTATTCTGGAAACAGCTCGGAAGTAAACAGGATGCAGTTAGCAACAATGACTCCAGCTTTAAAACGGATAATCTGCGACGTTATTGTACTAATTTTTCATAAAACTTGGCCAACAACCCACCATTTTTTTCGGCGGAGGGCAGTACGAAGGTACGTTTGACCACTCACAGCTTCGTAGTGCTCCCATGGAGAGAAAACCCGAAGTTATTTACGCGTTTGGCCACATGTGCTAATGCTATAAAATGCATTGCATGGCTTGGTAGCCGCTAGCATCAGGGTGCAAATATTGATTTGCGGTACTCATAACGGCGATTTCTGGCCAGGATTTCATGCTTTTATGCCACGTTTTCTAGATGCTTATATTGGTAGTCTATAGTTGTGTTTGGAGTGTGTAAGAAGTGACTTATATGATGGTGTTGCCCATACGTTGCTGTTTCATCCGGAAAAAAAACTGGACCAATCCACAATATTACCGAAGATTAAGGCTATTTTCCGTAAATGATTTTCAGTGGTGCTGAGCCAGAGTGCCCCCGAATTCGGGGGCGTCGTGCTCAAGAGGTTTTAAGGGACAAATTAAAAAGATATGTCAGAACGAATGTAATAAAGGGAGTAAAGGAAGATGTCTGTTTAACAATAAACCATTGGTTGGGAGTGCAGGATCTAGTGGACGAACTAGAAAAGAGGAGATGATTATGACAAGACTAAGGAATGGCCACACTGGTCTGAACAGTTCCCTCTATGTTATTAGAAAGCATAATAATGGAAAGTGTAAATTTTGTGGAGAAGAAGAAACCGTGGACCATATTTATTGTCCTGTCAGAGGTACGAGTCAGCGAGAGAAGTTTTGAAAAAAAGGTCTAAGAGAGATTGGAGAGGAAAGCTTTAGTGACAAATGTTGGAAACTTTTTCTGGAATATTTAGAGTCAACAACACTAATGAATAGAATTTGAGAAAGAAATGTATTATTATTTATTTATATATCTATATCTATACATCTCTTTATTCATTTACACACATATGTATATGTGTATACAGTGGGTACGGAAAGTATTCAGACCCCTTTAAATGTTTCACTGTTTCATTGCAGCCATTTGCTAAAATCAAAAAAGTTCATTTTATTTCTCATTAATGTACACTCAGCACCCCATCTTGACAGAAAAAAACAAATGTAGAAATTTCTGCAAATTTATTAAAAAAGAAAAACTGAAATATCACATGGTCATAAGTATTCAGACCCTTTGCTCAGTATTGAGTAGAAGCACCCTTTTGAGCTAGTACAGCCATGAGTCTTCTTGGGAATGATGCAACAAGTTTTTCACACCTGGATTTGGGGATCCTCTGCCATTCTTCCTTGCAGATCCTCTCCAGTTCCGTCAGGTTGGATGGTGAACGTTGGTGGACAGCCATTTTCAGGTCTCTCCAGAGATGCTCAATTGGGTTTAGGTCAGGGCTCTGGCTGGGCCAGTCAAGAATGGTCACAGAGTTGTTCCGAAGCCACTCCTTTGTTATTTTAGCTGTGTGCTTAGGGTCATTGTCTTGTTGGAAGGTGAACCTTTGGCCCAGTCTGAGGTCCAGAGCACTCTGGAAGAGGTTTTCTTCCAGGA